ACCCAGTCGTCTAATCATTAAATATTTCTCAAACCTGGATCCTTTTCTATTCCTACCACTTTTGTTCAATCAGACTTCATAATTACTCCTCAGGTCCTGCCTAAGGTTGTGCATCTAATAAGAAGGTGAGCTGGGTTTTCAAATTACCTCATTTGTCTCCAGCTTTTACCTCTACAATCTGTTTTCAACATTATCACCAGAATGATTTCTGCAAATTACACACACTTGATCTTGATGTAATTCCTTAATGGTTCTGAAATTCCTTGCAGAACAATAAGAGCCAATGTTTATTTAACACATTATGGTAGGCACTGTTCTAATTGTTTTACACATATTAACTCATCTAAGCTTTAAAGAATTCTCCTTTTTCTTTCTTTTTTTTTCTGGTACCGGGGATCGAACTCAGGACCTTGCACTTGGGAGGTGGATGCAGCACCACTGAGCTAAATCCTCGGCCCTGCCTCCTTTTTCTTTCAGATGGAGAAATTGAGTCCAGAGAGGTTGAATAACTTTCCCAGATTCACGCAGCAGAGCTTGGACATTTCCACAACACTTTTTTTTTTCCCCCTTGAGACTGAATACTCACTAAGTAGTTCAGGCTGGCTTTGAACTCACTATGTAGCCCAGGGTGGCCTCCAAGCATGATTCCAGAACTTTTCTACCTTTTGCCTCCCCCATCTGTGTGCATCTGCAAAGTCTCTTTAGCTATTTTAGAGAGTTACTTGTCCCTTCGCTGTGCTCCCTCACCTATCCTTGTATCAATCCCTCTCAAGACATCATCAAGTACTAATCATCTCTTCATATACTTGTGTATTTTCCTAAAAACTGAGCTCTTGGAGGTAGGAACTAGGTTGTCATACATAGATGCTCAGTAGCTGTTAAACAAATAAATGAACATTGGCAGTAAGATTCTAGAATTGATCCTGGATTTGGAGATGATCCTCTGTTGTAGAAGCCAAGCTCTCATTTCCTTCCTACTCAGCCACCTCTTGGCCAGTTTCTCAGTGATAGCTGTATTTTCTATTTTTGGACACCAGGGAGCGCCATTAATAACATAGCCCAAACTCAGGAATTTCTAAACTTTTTGGAGCAGATCTGACTCTTGATTGCACTTCTTCCAAAGTTTCTTTTACTTTCTAAATGAAAGCTACTGGTGACCAGAAGCCCTGAGTGTAGAGGAAGGAGAGTTAGGCTGCTGTACAGAACATATATCATTTATTCATTTGCTTAGCAAAATATTATGTACTGGCGAACCTGACCTGTGAGAATATAAAGATGAATGAAAGGCAATCCTTGATGAGCTCAGAGGCTAATGGTGAAGAGAAATATTTATTAGATGATCAAACTCTGCTATATGAATGCTCTAAGGTATAGCAGAAGACTAGAGGGATGACAAGTCAGGAAAGTACCAAAGGCAAGGGTGACTTTTGAGGTTTTCTTTTTTCCCCCTAAAACATAACCTCTGGTTCATAACATGTTGTCATCATTGGTTCATGGCATTATGAGCATGGGTGTACAAATATTTGAGGCCCTGCTCTCATTTCTTTTTAATATACCCAGAGGTAGAATTGCTGGATCATTTGGTAGTTCTATTTTTGGTTCCTAGACACCATTTTAACATCACAGGAAATGCAACAGCCTCTGAGAAGTTGAAGCTCTTGGTATGAATTGTTAACCAATCATGGTTTCTTGCCTCTAGGACCCAGGCTTTTTGTACCAAACAGGTTATGCACTCATACCCGAAATAAATCATGTGGTGGTTAAGAGCAAGATGTATTTAAATTGAAAGGAAGTTGTGTTAACCATGCTTTATTTTGCTCTTTGCTTGCGATTTCTCTGATTTTCTTTTCTTTTTTTTGATACTGGGGTTCGAACTTGGGACCTTGGACTTGCAAGGCAGGTGGCAGAACCACTGAGCTAAATTCCTGGTGCTTGTGATTTCTCTTAACTGAATGAGTGCACAGGTTAGGTGGATTAGGCAGAAATGACAAAGTGGTAGCGAGTGATTAATCTGGGCTGCAGATGTGTTTCATGTGGTCTATACAGGGCTTAATTTTATTTCTTAATTAATTAATTTCTGATTTTTTGAGACAGTGTCTCGGTATGTAGTTCAGGCTGGTCTTGAATTTATTATGTAGCCCAGTCTGGCCTCAATTTCTTGGTGATCCTCCTGCCTCATCCTCTTGAGTGCTAGGATTATAGGTATGTGGCACCATGCCCCAATATACAGGGTTTTAAATTGTATTTATTTTTGTGGTGCTGGAGAGCAAACCCAGGCCTTGATGAATGCAAAGCATGAGGTCTACCACTGAGCTATATCCCCAGCCATGGGTTTTATACTTTTATTTTTAACTTTAATTTAATTTAGTTTTTCTTGCTGTGTTGCTCAGGTTGCCCTTGAACTCATCATCCTCTTGCCTCAGCCTCCCAAGTAGAATTACAGGCATGCATCACCGTGCTGGTTTGGGTCTTATACTTTTAAAGTTAATTGCACAATTGTAAAAAAGGAATATGTCACTGGGCATATTCTGAACCCTACCTTGGCAATTCAGTGAGACACTGTCTTGAAAAGGGAGTGGGGTAGGGATGTAGCTCAATGCAAAGGCTCTAGGTTCAATTTCCAATACCAAAAATAAAAAGTCATGTTATGTAAAAGTCCAGATTTCTGAGCTGGGCATGGTGGTGCACATAATGCAAGCTCTCAGAGGCTGTGGCAGGGGAATCACTGTAAGTTTGAGGTCAACCTGGGCTACATAGTGAAGCTGAACTACATAGCAGGCACCTGTCTCAAAAAACCAAAATAAATAAGTGTCTAGATGTCTGTTTTCTAACGACTGTCAGTATTGGCCCACCCTGGCTGCTTTCCAGTCCAAAGTTGCCACCACTCCCTATCACTCATCTACCTACTTCTCTCAATCATATCACCTGCTTACTGGCTTTGCCATTTGGGTTTAATAGCTGCTGGCTCAGAGGATAGGTCTCCTGGGTCTTAGGTCACGGAGAGGTCTGACTTCTGTTCTGGGAAATTTTCCAGCACATAGCAGTTAATAAGTATTTGGTTGATCAAGTGAACTATCTCTTGTCAACCAGCTTTTTCTGAGCCCCCTCTCTGTGTAGGGTCATAGAGACAAATGAACTCTGAAAGCTGACAATCACAAATTTGGGGAGGGACAGACATACTATGATACAACTCTAGCCACAGACTGATTCTGATGAGGTGGTTTGGGTAGGAGTTTCTTTTTTTTTCTTTTGAGGCAAGATCTTGCTTTGTAGTTCAGACTGGCCCTGAACTGAACTCACTATGCAGCCCAAGCTGACCTTGAACTTGAGGCGATCTTCCTGCCTCAGCCTCCAGAGTGCTGGGATCACAGGCATGTGCCACCGTACCTGGCTTGGGTAGGAGTTTCTGAGGAGTCATTGAACCATGTCTGGAGGAAGGAAAGGCCAGGTCCATAAACAGCCAGGTGCAGGGAAAAGCTTTTGAGGCAGAAGCAATAGCAGATACAAAGGTTGCTGAAAGTTTGGTTATGTTTGGGGAATTTAGGGAAGACCATGGGCTGGGAGTGTAGGTCAGTGATGAGTGCTTGCCTAGCTTGCCCGAGGCCCTGGGTTCAGCAATGCAAGCAAGAGACAGAAGGCCAGTGTGATAGGAGCTTAATAGAATGGGGAGAGTGGTAGTAGATGACGTTAGATGTATATTTTTATATCAACAGCCTAACCCTTAAGCCAAGCAGCTGTTGGGCAAATCCGCATTCTGGTCTTCAAAGAGCTTGCTCAGAACAGGAGCTGGTTTAGCACTGTCAGTCAGAGGAGCGACTGGGCCTAATCCTTTCTCCTGCCTTTGGTGCCAAGGACAGGGTAGGGCACAGAGGTTTCAGTAAAGAGTCGCTGACGGTATGCACGAGAAGAGAACAGGAAGTGCAGGCTTTGTTGAAGGAGGGCCAGGCGCGGCTCTTTCTTCACGGGGACACTCATTCTCACGTCGCTGTCACCTCCTCCAACCGACTCACAGAGCTGGAAGAGTTAGATGCAGGGAGGGACCCCATGCACCCTGACCGCAGAAACCTCCAGGAGGTGGGGGGTTGAGGGGCAGGTAACACAACGGGCTGTGAGAGCTAAGCGAGGGCCTCCGATAGCCTGGAGGAAAGGGGAGGATGGGGTCAGAAGGGAGATGGACTTTTAGTCCAGACTCAAGGTATGTGTAGGACAATTTAGTCTAAAGTGGTCTGGACAGTTTATTTTACTTTCTGGCATAATTTCCTCTGAAAACATTTTCAGCCCTAATGGACCTCCTCCGGGGCGGGCCCGGGTTTCACTCCCCAACCCTCTGCAAAGGGGCAGGGCCTCGCAGGAGATCGTCGCTGCTGCAGTACCCGGGTTTGCTCACCAGGGGCCGCTGCGCACGGGCGACGGAGCGCGCGGATTCCCAAGCCGCAGAGAGGCGGAAGCCGATTGGCTGTGAGGCACGGAGGGAGGGCGGAGCCTGGGAGACTAGTTGGGAGTAGGGGGCTGGGCTCGCGCCCCCAGGCCAAACCTGGCCAGGCCGCTGACGCCTGAGGTGGCTTCCGGGAGGCTATCGCGGTGCTGGGGCCTTTGTCCAGGCTGACACCAGAACAGAGCAGGGCAGAGTAGAGCAGCACGTGGCCCGGAGACTCAGGCTGGGTAGCTGCTGTCGCTGTTACCAACGCCGCCGCAGGCCTGGGTTACCTGAGCAACTGTGTGTCAGGCGCCAGCCAGCGGGCGGGCCCTTAGCGGGGGAGATTCTGTGGGAAAGGGGAGGCTGGAACTTGATCCTCGGTGCGGGACGGGGTCCGGCGAGGACGAGCGCGGGCCTGGGGGCCAGAAGACCCCGCCGGGGTGGAGGGTCCCGGCCAGCGGTCCCCAACAGGTTATTCCGGGAGCCGCGCGGTCGCCGGGGCTGGCCCGGGCAGCGCGGGGGGCCGGGCGCTGGGCGGGCCCGCGGGAGGAGAGCACGCCCCGTCGCCCCGCCCGCCCCGGCCCGCCCCGCGCGCTCGCCAGCTGCTGTCCCGGGCCTGGCCCGCGAGCGGACGCCTGCTGGACTAGGGCACTGCCGGCCTCCTGGGCACGAGACTGGACGAGGGCGCTGGCCTCTGCCCGGGAGGCTTAGGATCGCGGAGACGCCGGGACCCGTTGGGGCCTGCGAGTTGCTCGCTCTCGCCGGGCTTCTGCTTGCCCTCCTCCTCCTCCTCGGCGGGGCGAGGTCAGGTGCCCTCCTTCTCTCCTCCCTTCGCTCCCTCCCCCACCTCTGCCCGCGGGAGATCCTGCCCGCCTCCTCCTGCAGGGGTGTAGCCGGCTGCGGAGCTGACAGCGGCCCCGCAGCCACCCTGGCCAAACTCTCCGGAAGCGGCCCGAGCTCAGGCCGCTGCAGCCCGGGAGGACCCACTTTGCACCGGAGGGGCTGGGCATCTTCCCGCGCCCAAACTTGGAGTACTTGACCTTTGGCTGCCGGAGGAGGCAAGCCCGCAGGTGGCTGGACAGCTGCGGCGCCCGGAGGGCATCTTGCCTGAGGACCTTCGTGCTCCCGGCTTTGCCTCTGGGATCCCAAGGTGCCCACCTCAGGCGCATGTTGACTGAGACCTAGAGTCATGGATGTGTGTGCCCGTCTTGTTCTGTGGCTCCTCTGGGGGTTCCTCCTGCATCAGGGCCAGAGTCTTAGCCACAGTCATAGCGAGAAGGCGACAGGAGCCGGCTCTGGGGCTACTTCGGAGGAGTCCACTGCGGCAGGTATGGTCTTGCTGGGGGCTAGATTGAGCGGGGAGGGGCCTTTTGACTCAGAACTGAGCGGCTTGAAGTGGGCAAATCAATCTAGGTTTGTACACATGAGGTTGGTGGAGAATCCACACGTGGTACTGTCTAGTCCCAGGTGTCCAAGTTCTTTCTGTTTTGGAGTCATGGTTATTATTTCTAGCTCTCCTGAACAACTGTCCTCATCCCTCCTTAGGATGTCTTTTCTTGGGGCACCTTGACCTTTCAGATCAGCAAGGCAGTACCCCATCTCAGAACTTCTCTGGAAGAAGGCTTGCGCAGATAAGTCCATTGCTTTTTGCCAGGTTCAGGGCTTGGCAGCAAAGAGGGAGTTGAGGCCACTTGGACTGGGCAGGGAAAATCAGGGCTGGGCTAGCTCTATGGCCTGATAGCCTGGCGTTCAGGTGTGCCTTTCTATTCCAACCACCGTGAGAACCCTAGTCCCTCCCTTCCTTTAGGTAATTTGCTGTCTCCTAGCTGTACCTATTTGAAGTATGAAGGCAAGCCTGTAGATGGACTCTTGTTTGCCAGTAGGGAGCTAAGTGGCCTCTTCTTGACACTGATGTGATATAATTCCTGGGAGCACTTGTTGACTTATTCTGTTTCTTCTGACTGATGAGGGTAGGGATTCCATGTCATTCATATATATATATATATATATATATATTTTTTTTTTTTTAAATTCTGTCTTGGTTTTTCCTATGCACTTGTGGAGTCTTGTCAGGTAGCAGGAGTCCCAGTGTACTATTGCAGTAGAAAGGAACACCTTTTTTACATAAAGCTTAGGAGGAGATCAGTTTTCGTTTCCCATTTTTCTCGTTTTGTCATTTTGATCTACCCAAAGCTGTGGTCTGAAGAAGGGGAACGTTTATAGTTGACTTGTTCTGAGGATAAATAAGCTCAAATGAGAGGATGGTTTATTGGGCACTTATTGACGCAAATTGGAAAAGGAAATATAGGTCATGGTGGTTGAGAGTTTCATGGTTAGATCCAGAGGCTGGTATTAGTAGTAGATCTTTTCTTGGGCAACCCCCTTTCTTCACTTGCCTGAGTGTTATTTCAGATGCCCTAAACTAGCTGTAAATTAGGCTAGTGCTGCCATTTATAGAAGTATGGTAGCCTGGTTTTTGCTTTAAAGATAGGTCCTTCTTAGCCTGGTATAATGGCACAGTCTATAAACCTACCACTCTGGGAGCCTGAGGCAGGAGGATCTAAGTCTGAGCCCAGCCATGTCAACTTAGTGGTTTAGCAAGACCCTGTCTCAAAATAAAAAATAAAAAATAGTGTAGAGATATAGCTTAGTATAAAGGCCCTGGGTTCAATCTCCAGTATCCCCTCCCCCCCAAAAAAGGTCTTCTTGCAAATTAATCCTGATTCTCCATAGGAAATTTCCCTGGCTCCTGGGGATGTAAAAAGAATTAACACGTGTATGTTCATGTACCAATTCCTCATACTGAATATAATAATTATGTACTGCAAACATCTAGTAAAAATAAAAAATTAAAAAAAAAAGATTGGCTTTCATTGGACTGTGAAAGGAAAGTCTGGTTGAACTATAAAGTAGACCTAAGGTGCATCTTTGATGTCCCAGTGACATCCCTGTTTATAATTGATAATGTCTTCCTCCTTGGCCCCAGGGTTAAAATATAAGTGCCTGTTGTGAAGTGAGTATTTTTTTTTTGGTACTGGGGGTCGAACTCGGGACTTGGCACTTGTGCGGCAGGTGCTGGAACCACTGAGCTAAATCGCTGGCCCTGAAGTACTTTTATGAGTAGTTTGAGACAGGGTCTCGCTATGTAGTTCAGGCTGCCCTCGAACTCACAGTGATCCTCTTGCCTCAGTCTCCTGAGTGCTAGGATTACAGGCATGTGCTACCATGCCTGGTGAAATGAGTTTTTTGAGAGAGAATGTTCTATATTTTAGACACAAGGTGAAGGGATAAAGTTTTGAGTTTTAGGCATTAGCTAGCTCTCAAGATGTTTTTGTTTTTGTGGGGTTTTGTCCCACTGAGGTATTCTAGCCTCTTATAGGACCACCTCGTGTTGTGAGCTTATGGAGAGCTATCCACATAATGTATTTCAGAGACATAGTTATGACTATACCCCCAAAGCCTCTGTTTTGGCCTTTTCTTCTCTTCACATCAGAAATTGTTTTCTGTTCTCATAATAATAGTGCATCTAGGGATAAAAGCCTCAAAAAGAAAGAGAGAGGGCCGGGGATTTAGCTCAGTGGTTCTGTCGCCTACCTTGCAAGCACAAGGACCCAAGTTCGATCCCCGGTACCAAAAAAAACAAAAAACAAAAACAAAACAGAGAGAGAGAGAGAGAGAGATCCTAGATACTGTGAATGACTATGGTTTTTAGGAATGTGAGTGTTCCAGCACCATTGTTCTCTTAGTTTCTCTCCTTAGATTTGTCTGAGACTTTATCTCTGACTCAGTGACTTATTTTTGCAAAGAGGTAGCTTATAGGTGGGGCTCTGCCAGAGTTGGGTGAGAAACTTTGTCTGTAACCAGGAACCCTGCCTTTCCAGCCCCTCTGAATCCCCAGAAAACAGGGAATTTTACCTGCTTTTTTTATTGTTGTTTTATGAGCCATAGTCTCACTATGTAGTTCAGGCTGGCCTTGAACTTGTAGTGATCCTCTTGCTTCAGCCTCCTGAGTGCTGAGGTTACAGGCATGCATCACCATACTCGGCTCTGACTTGCTTTTATTTTTATTTATTTATTTTTTTGCTTAAATTCTTTTATTGGTACATTTTAGGTATACAATATGTTTACATTTATCTTTGGGTACTTGTACCTGCACATGATGTATCTTGGTTCTTATTTTTTCCCCATTCCCTGTGCTCCCTTCCCTATTTACAAAGACTTTGTTTCCCTTTTTTCCTTTTCTCATAATTTTTCTTTTCCCTTCTTTCCTTTCCCCTTCCCTTCCATTTCCCCTACCCCTTTGGACCTTTTCTTCCTATTTCAAATTATAAATTATTCATTGTAATCATTTTAATTCTTATTTACAATTTCAGTTTCTCACACTAGAGAAACTATTCAGTATTTACACGTGTGTCCTATTTATTTCACTTAAGAGTACAGCCTCAATATGCATCCATTTAGCTATAAATGTCTCTAGTTTCTCATTCTTTATGGCTGAGTAGTACTCCATTTTATAAAAAAACCCCACATCTTCTTTATCCAGTTTCCAGTTGATGGGAACTTGGGCTGTTTCCAAGCTTTAGCTGTTATGAACTGTGCCGCTATAAACATGGGTGCACATATATCGCTGTCTGACTTGCTTTTAAAACTACCACTTTTCTAAGTCAGATTCAACATATCTAATGAATCTGTGTGTTCTTGACAATTTATATATTACAATCACACAGCTGTTTTTCCTATAAAGTCTCACAATAATCCTCCTAGAATGCAGGGCAGGATACTACATCCTGTTGTTATGGGTGAAGAAACTGGGTCCTGTGTTTGGTCTTATTAACAGGTCTTCTGATGCTTAAGTCCTAGACTTATTCCATTTTTCTCAGGTCCTATCCTGTTAAAGGAGTGCCTGGTGGGGCCAGAGAATGTTGCTCTCCTTCTGGCAATTAAGCAGGCTCTGGTGACTCTGTAGCTGAGATCCAAAAAGCTACTTATATCTCTTCTGGAGAGTATATTGAAGGGGCCCAGATAATTTAATTTAGAGTGTATGCACTCATATGTCTCTTTTTAGACAGTTATAAGATTTGATTTTGAAGTTTTAGTTAAAATGCTTATGCCTTTCCCATGCATACACTAAACACTATTAAAATCCTGACCCTGCAATGAAGGCAGGTGTTCTATTAGAAGGTTTTCTTTTTGGGCAGTGGGGAGCCCATCCTTGTTGCTTTGGGTTTTTTAATACTTGTGCACCAGTCATGCTAAGTCACTTTCTCAGTAAAGGTCTGCCTGGATGTACTGCTCTGGGGTCTGCATTTCTAACTTTTTTTTTGAGACAGGGTCTCACTATGTAGTTCAGACTGGCCTTGAACTCATTATGTAGCCCAGGCTGGCCTTGAACTGTCGGCAATCCTCTTGCCTCAGCCTCCTGAGTGCTGGGACTAAGGGTTATGCCACCACTCCTGCATTTCTGAAGATGGGTTGAAACAATACTTGGAATCTCCCTTAGTCTGTAGGCTCATTGCTTCCAGAAACTCAGAAGTGTTTTCTGTAGAGTATGTGTGAATGACCTCAGTGGCTGTCACTGTTGGAAGTATTAAGGATCTCTAATCAGGAACTGTGGTTTGGTTCAGTATCACAAGAATAGGGCCTTGGAGGATAGGTATCTAAACACTGTGTAGAGTGCAGGCTAGCTTCTCAATCAAGCCTTGATGGAGTGGCAAGCCAGAGCCCTGCCTGCCCACTCAGCTAGTTGTTGCTGCCTCCAAGTCTATAAATGGCCTGGCCATCTTGGTAGCTATGCTAATTTTAGCTGAGGGTGGCTCCCCACACTGAGGCCAAGAACAGGTGGGTGGGGCTTGGCTGAAGCCAATACTGGGGGGTTGGGGAGAGGGACACAGGAATCCTGGGCCATCATCTGCTTCCAGGCCTCAGCTTTGACAATCACCTTTAGCTAGGTTAATTGATTCAGTAAATATCAAACCGTGCCAGCTCATGTGCTGTTTATCCAACAAGTATTTGAGTGACTGCTCTGGGCCAGGTACCATGTATGTTTTCTGTGAGGATTTAAGGATGAACAAAATAGACATTTTCCCTCCTTCAGAAAAGTTATAGTCTTGTTAGAAAATCAGAAAATGAATATGAAAGTAAATAATATTATTTTGTGGTAAATGGCCTGGAAGGAAACATAAACAGAAGGCTCAGGGAAATGAAAAGGGAACAGAGATCTAGTTAAAGTTGGAGCTCAGTGTTTAATAGGGCAGATTAATACAATAATATTAACAATAATTTTGTTAATAGTGGCAGGCACTATTATAAACATTTTATTCATTTAATT